AACTTTCAGATTCGTGTTCAGCAAGAAAAAACAGATTGGGAAAATATCCTGGGCACGCACCACTTTTTTATTTTGTGGACTTGTGTTATCATAAAAAAATGTATACAGATATTAAAATATACTAAATGACATAGAACATGTAACACCGGCTAGGAATGCTGTAATTTTGAGCATAATTTTACAAATTTTAGCTGTACTGATAAATGGAAAGTGATTAAAATTTTAACTCGAAATTTCGCAAAATAGCCAAGATACTCGTATCCCACCTGAATGGGTGAAAAATTAAAGCTTCCGCCTTTTGTTGGGTACTTCGACAAAATTTAAGCAGAGGACTCTTTATACTTTTTTAATTCTCTCTAGCTTTCAATGGACTTTGCCATCATCATCAGGAGCTGCAATTACAATGATAACAGTAGCAACAATAGTGTAAAATGAATTTAAATTGACTCAACTTACAGTAGTATGTGAGAATGTTGCTAATTGTTGTTTACGTATAGGATGAGGGAAACGTCCAGTAACATGGTGAGAGCTGGATAGATGGTATAATGGTTAAAATTATATAAAATATGACAAGACAAGTTAAAGACAGATTAAAAATTATTTAGAAAACATTAGAGCATTACGTCGTGAAGCCACTTGATGATTGCACAAAATGGTGGTCATGGAATAATGAGTGAGATGAACCTTTGACAAATAAATAATTTTTAATCTGTCTTTAACTTGTCTTGTCATATTTTATATAATTTTAACCATTGTACCATGTATCCAGCTCTAACCATATTACTGGACGTTTCCCTCATCCTATACGAAAACAACCATTAGCAACATCCTCACATACTACTGTAAGTTGATTCAATTTAAATTCATTTTACACTTTTGTTGCTACTGTTATCATTGTAATTGCAGCTCCTGATGATGATGGCAAAGTCCATTGAAAGCTAGAGAGAATTAAAAAACGTATAAAGAGTCCTCTTTGCTTAAATTTTGTCGAAGTACCCAACAAAAGGCGGAAGCTTTAATTTTTCACCTAACTGGTCTAGACGACAATGAACACGTCTCAAAAAAAAATATATATATATATATATACAGGGTGGCGCATCGAAAACGAAACAGACGCATTTAGTGGCAGCACAGTTTTTTTTAAAAAAAACGCGCAGACCCGTCGATTTTGTTTTCGAGGGGGACACAAGTTTGGCAAAAAATCACGTTAGCATGTGCAGCCCCCTGAGCGGGGGTGACACCACCCCCAAAATCTTAAATGGAAAGGGGGGACGAGTGATACCTTATTTTAAAGGTCTTTCAATTCCCTTTATAATGATGTAAAATACATGAGCTTCAGTTCAGTAGTTTTGAAGATTTATTGATTTAAAGCTTAATGTTGACTTTAATAGGTACATCAGATTAGTTTGTACTACTTTCAGAAGAAATTTGACTAAAAGAATTTACTTAATAAGTAAATGCTTTTCTTCGCTACGCCCATGGTTTGTTTATCATTTTGTTGTTGAAAATAGCTATTGGAGCGTTTTTTGTGGCAAAAAAGTTATTTCTTAAAGAAAGATAAGGAAATATCTCCACCCCGTACACACACACATATATATATATGAAAGCTCTCTCTCATCAAGGAGTAGGTAGACACATTTTCTAAGAACTGATTTCCAAGAATGATTGCAACAGCATTTTTTTTTCCTCCAACCACCATGAAGGCCTAAAGACCCCTGGGGTACTGTGGGGCTATAGGGGATACAGGGAAAAGGGGGGGGAGCAACACGGCTCCTAGCCATAAAATCAGAGGATTGTGCTTATCAATAAGAGTATGAGCTATTTTATAAAGGGTCATAGATTTGGTACATGCGTTATTTGAATATCTCTCGAACTATTCATCTTGTCTTGTTAACTAAACGAGATCCTGTAGACAGCTGCCAGTGATTTTCCCCAGAGGTGAAGGCGTTTTTTAATTTATACCTAACTGATCTTACAATACAGTGACATCGAGGAATCCTCTTTTTAATACAAGTACAGGGTGGTCCATAAGTCCTTTGAAATTTCAAATTTGAATAAAATTTAACGGGTGAGCGTGAGCGGCGCGGGCGAGGTGGGGGCAGTATCTTCAGTGTCTGGGAATTCAGTCGCCATGGAGTGTTTCACTGGAGCGGATCGTGCTTTTTGTGTGCGCGCGTTTTATCAAAATAATGATTCGGCAACCATTGCGCGGCGTAAATATCGAGAATACCACAATTTACGCAATTTTACAAAGTGTCCAACAGCTCAAACGATTAAGAACTGGGTTGCTAAGTTCGAAGAGACTGGATCGACGTTAGATAAGTAGCGGTGGGGTCGACCAAGGACAACTCGTATTGAAGAAAACATCAACATTGTGGCACAGTCTGTTCGTCAAAATCCTACCCAGTCTACTCGTAAGCGTTCCAGTGCACTAAACGTACCCAGAACATCTTTACAGCGGGTTTTAAGGAAAGATTTACGTCTGCACGCTTACAAAATTCAGTTAGTGCAGGAATTAAAAGATAATGACGCTATTCAGAGACTAAACTTTGCGAATGAAATGTTGAATCGATTTTCTTCGCTCAATAATGTGTTGTTCTCGGACGAGGCTCACTTCCATTTAAACGGGCATGTAAATAAACAAAATTGCCGTTATTGGAGCCCTGAAAATCCAAGGCGTAAGCATCAGAAGCCCTTACACAGCATTTAAGTTACAGTTTGGGCTGCTATGTCAGCGCATGGCATCGTAGGCCCTTATTTTTTTGAGGACGACACAGGTCGCGCATTAACTGTTACTTCGGAGCGGTATGTAGCAATGATAGAAGAGTTTTTGACACCAGCGTTGCAGAATTTTCCAGGCTATAATACGCAGACCTGGTTTCAACAGGACGGAGCAACTGCCCATACCTCCAACACTTCTATGCCCGTCGTCTGTCAACTTTTTCCCAGCAAAGTAATTTCTCGAAGAGGAGACATTTTTCCTGGCCACCACGTAGTCCAGATTTGACCCCAATTGACTTCTTTTTATGGGGCTACCTCAAGAGTAAAGTGTACGACACCACTCCGCGATCAGTTGATGTCCTGAAAGAAAATATCCGAAGAGAAATGGCAAGCATTACAGTTTTGACTTGCCGCGCAGTCATCGACAATTTTAGACGTCGTTTATATGAGTGCCGTGATCGTAATGGATTGCATTTTAGACGATGTGATTTTTAAAACATAATTCCCATTCAATAAAGATGATAACAAAATATAATAATTCTTCATAATGTAACTAGTTTGGTTTTATTCATTTTTTTCCAGCTCAAAGGACTTATGGGCCACCCTGTATGTTTCCCACTTGAAAAGTTCAGAATTAATGATTTAATGACGGTTAGGCTTTTACCTAGTATAAGCAACTGGCTTCTGTAGATCCTTTCTTTGCATTCGAACTGTCTCTGAACCTCCATGATCATGGTGGCGTGCGTTTTAGCCATCGCCTCCTGCATGCCTTGACAGAACGTGTTGATCGTGTGCTTTTCGCTGTCCATGTTGCGCCGCAGTTCGTCCATCAGACCTTTCAGGGCTATTATGCCATCGCGCACAGAAGTCTACGGAATAACAAGTGAAAATATCAAAACAGACATTTTTCTTTTCATAAATGAGTCACTATTAATTCCTAATATATGGGGAACGTGTTACCTGCAAATCCATGATAGTGTTTTGCCCTCGTTCCAATCGTTTCGCAGCTTGACTGTAGGCGGTGTCAATATCGACGCATTGGGCCCTGACGTCACTCGGTAAGTCTCTAAAGCAGTTCACGCACAACATGCCATTTTGCAATGGACAATACATTATGTAATGTTCGCCATGCTGAGGACACTACGAAAAAATGTTTATATTCGAATATGTTTTTTCAGGCCGAATCTTATTTTGCGTAAGTACCTTTTTCGGTTCTTTCATGCATTTGGACATGTGGACGATCTCATGGCTCGAAAACATTTTTGCTCTATGCGTATTATCGCGACAAAGCACGCACAGTGCTTGCCCTAAAATGTAGAAACTTGTATGAAAATGTACTTAAAATACGATAGCAAAATACAGGGTGTCCGCAAAGTTGGGGTTTTCCTTTTCAGAAACAATTACCCTTGAAATAACAAAGGTAATGTGTAGTGAAACGAGGGCGACCAAGTAAAAAAAATAAAGGAAAAAGTACTCACTCTCCAGTTGACGAGAAGGGCTAAGTACGTCTCTGCCCGAAATCATACCGCTCCAACGGAAAATGAAATCAGCTGAAGCGCTACCGAGCAGACGCAGAAACCACATTCATTGTCTTACACTTAATGGCACATCTTCTAACAAGGAAGGCAACATGTTGCGTAAAAAGTCTAGGTATTGCATCCCGCCCAATCGATTTGGGTAGAATAAATGGTCCAATGACCATACCGTTCACCATGCCAGCCCAAACATTCACCGAAAATGTTTGTTGAAAATGACCAAACATGAGTGTTGCAAAAGTTATTCACCCCATTACGCGTAAACGTAGATTCCTCTGTCACCAATATGTACTTCAAAAAGTCCGGATTATTGTCATGTTGATGCAACAACCACTCACAAAACCGCACTCTTGCTGTAAAATCGTCAGGTTGAAGGGCTTGTACACGTTGGACGTGAAACGGATACAGCCCCTCTTCACGCAGCGTTTGCCACACTTTTTGATACTTGCACTTCTCTAGCCACGTCTCTAGTGCTTGTTGAGGGATTCTCGTCTACGCGATTACCTCTACACGCGTGACCGTAACCCTCGGTTGAAGATTGCATACTAACCTGACACACTGACCCCGACCCAGTTCTGCGTCGGGTTGAGACCTTGTAACAGTCGGGGATATCGCGGCGGGTCGCGGCTACAGGACGGTATTCAGATATTTTTGATGTTGCAGAGCCCTTTATCTCGATTCCCTTAAGACATTGGTGTATATGGTACTAAGAAAAATTGCTTATGTTTTCAAGATCTACACGTCGTGTAAAGGAAAACCCCAACTTTGCGGACACCCTGTATATTATGGGTATACTTTAATAACACAATTTACCACAGGTGTTGCAATAGTACATATTCTGCCTATCTCTCTTGTCGCAGTTTGAACACGGCGGATTTTCGCTATTCGCGATGTCGATCAGTTGCCGCATCAAGGTATCAGGAGGTGGGAGGGCCGTGCCGTCTTTCAACATCGTTGGCTGCCTAAAAAGACATAGACCATCATTTATTTAACTAAAATATAGATGAACTATCCGAAAAGCTACTACAACCGTGAAATCTGCAAAACATGACCGAATTGGATGTTCATTTCATACAAATACAGGGTGGCGCATCGAAAACGAAACAGACGCATTTACTGGCAGCTCAGTTTTTTTTTTTTGAAAAACGCTCAGACCCGTCGATTTTGTTTTGGAGCTGGACACAAGTTTGGCAAAAAAATCACGTTAGCACGTGCAGCCCCCTAAGCGGGGGAGACACCACCCCCAAAATCTTAAATGGAAAGGGGGGTCGAGTGATACCTTATTTTAAAGGTCTTTCAATTCCCTTTATAATGATATAAAATGAATGTACTTCAGTTCAGTAGTTTTGAAGATTTATTGATTTAAAGCTTAAATAAAACTAATACATCATCATTACTACCTTCTGTATTTATAAAAAACTGTTCAGCTAGCTTATGTTTACCACTTCACCTAATTTTCAAACTATCATTAACTCAAAGAGTCTTTCCAACGAGATGGAAAGAAGGTGAAATATTGCCTATTCATAAAGGAGGCGATAGACATCTTGTGGAAAATTATCGACCTATCACTAAACTTTGTATTTTCTCAAAAATTTTTGAAAAGCTGATTTATGATCCTATCTTAAGCATTACAAAAAATATCATTACGGAACACCAGCATGGATTTTTCCCTAAAAGATCGGTAGAGACGAATTTGATGAGTTTTATAGAATATGCCTCTCACGCAATAGATGAGAAACTGCAGGTGAATGTTATTTATACCGACTTCAGTAAGGCTTTCGACAAGATTGATCATTCTATCTTGATGGAGAGACTTGCTGAGGTGGGTGTAGATGGTCCATTATGGCAGTGGCTAGCATCGTATATAAGTAATCGTAAACAAGTGGTGACTATCAATGGGTATCGTTCGGAGACATTCTTAGTAACTTCAGGCGTACCACAAGGTAGTCACTTAGGACCATTGTTATTTAACATATACATGAACAACCTTACTTCTGTTTTTCATTTCAGTAAATATTTGTTATATGCTGATGATCTAAAGATATTTACTATTGTTAGAAATGTAAATGACGGTGTAAAACTTCAAAGCGATTTGGAATCTCTGCAAAAGTATTGCACTGAAGACAGTATCTTCCTGAATTTAACAAAATGTCATTACATGAGGCTTACTAGAAACATAGCGAACACTATAGATTTCAGATATAAGATAGGGACGGCAGAACTGGAAAAGCTTCATGTAGTAAAAGACCTAGGGGTATACATTGATGAGAAACTCTCATTCATCCACCCACGTAGAGCACATCGTAAATGATGCAAATAGAACACTAGGGTTCATAAACAGGACATGCAGAGAATTTACGAACCCAAAAACGCTTCTTTCATTGTACTACGCTTATATACACAACAAACTGATGTTTGCATCAGTAATATGGAATCCGTCTTACAATGTACATATAGTCAGGATAGAAAGCATTCAACACAAATTTTTGAAGATGTTAGCACATAAAACTCACCAACCTGTTACAGATCATCATTATACGCAAATTATGAAACAGTTCAATATGATTTCCTTAAAAGATAGAAGAACGATTTCTGACATTTGCTGTGTCCATAAATTGTTGAATGGCCTCACTGACTGTCCGGATCTTTTGGCAAACTTGAACTTTAACACTCCTGATAGAACGTTTAGAACCTATCATCTGTTTAGAATACCGTTCCGTAGAACCAATCTTGGTTTTAATTCCCCTTTGTTCAGGGCTCAAAAAAATCATAATAATTTCTGTAATATAGATTTATTTAACATTAACTTGACCTCCCTGAAAAAGGCTTTAAAGTATGAGTATTACAGCTCTATGGCAGACTAAAATAGAAATGTTTTATTTTTTTACATAACTCAAGTTATCACCTCCAATATCATTTCTGGTATAATTTCAATTTAATTTTGATTTCAGTTTTAATTAAACGTAAGTAAATGTTAAATTATGTATACTCCTTTTATTAAAAAAGTTAAATTAATAGTTAATTGCTTATATACGTAATTAGAACTACTCACTCAGTTTATGTTGTTACAACAATATCGGAGGATAAAAAAATATTAATATTGAAGTATTCAATAATGTAATATATGTATATGTATACGATATTTTATGTAAGTTTAGTTTTAGTTCACTGAGGGTGTGTGTTGGGTTTACCTGTTAACACCCCAAACTATATATAAATAAATAAATTAGTGGAGATCAATACATTTGGCAGCAAAGTAATTTAAAAATGAAGAATGAACTGACCCGTTAAGCAAGTAAATGTTGAAAATGGCCACCATGACTCTCCATGCAATAATAAAGATTTTGCTCAAAACGTTGCCCCACATTTTGCAATATTTGAGGAGTAATTTGAAGGCACTCGTTCACAATGTCGCAGTTCTTCTAGTGATGTTACCTGAGTAGCATAGATTTTGCTTTTTAAATGACCCCACATCAAGAAACCCAAAGGTGATAAATCTGGCGATCTTGGGGCCATTCAATGGCACCTCTTCTACCAATCCATCGATCTGGAAACGTCTGATCTAAATATTGTCGAACACGTAATGCGTAATGTGGTGGGGCACCATCCTGTTGGAACATCAACCTATTCGCAATGTACCGCCGATTATTCTTATTTTCAATTATGGCTGTTAATGCAGGATCTATGGCGTCTTCCAGTAATTCCAAATACATTTCACCGGTCAAATTTCCAGGTAAGAAAAAAGGACCAACTAAATGATCGCCAAAAATACCAGCCCAAACATTTAATTTTTGTGGCTGCTGTGTATCAACCTCATGATAAATTCTGGGATTAGAATCGGACCAATATCGGCAGTTATGACGATTTACTACGCCATTTAAGAAAAAGGAACATTCGTCGGAAAAGCAAGTGTTGAATAGAAAATGTTCATCGTTTATAATTCGTTCACTCATATCTTCACAAAATTGTAATCGCCGATCAAAATCGTCTTGATTAAGTTCTTGTACCAGGTGAATTTTATAAGGATGAAAACTTATTAAGTAAATTCTTTTAGTCAAATTTCTTCTGAAAGTAGTACAAACTAATCTGATGTACCTATTAAAGTCTACTTTAAGCTTTAAATCAATAAATCTTCAAAACTACTGAACTGAAGCTCATGTATTTTACATTATTATAAAGGGAATTGAAAGACCTTTAAAATAAGGTATCACTCGATTAAGATTTTAGGGTTGGTGTCACCCCCGCCCACGTGTTAACGTGATTTTTTGCCAAACTTGTGTGAAAACACAATCGACGGGTCTGAGCGTTTTTACAAAAAAAACTGAGCTACCAGTAAATACGTCTGTTTCGTTTTCGATGCGCCACCCTGTATACTTCTTGTTCTTGAAAATAATGGAAACTACTGAATGTGCACAAGAGCGGGCGTACTTTTCAGTCATGCAAAAATTACCTGTAAGCATCATCATCATCATCATTATCTCTAAGTTGTGAGCAATGTGGTAGATACCTGCAAAACGGGCAGACGAGTCTCCTATCCTGCTCTCGACCTCGCAAGCATCTGGCACAGAAGGTGTGATAACAGCTTAAGATGCACGGTTCGGTAAAGTAGTCATGGCAAATGGGGCACAGCAATGGGTTTTTTGGAAACTCCAGACCGACGGACTCCATGCCACCTGAAGGTTCCATACCACTAAACTAAAAAAATCACTTTAAATAAACAACTCCAAGAAATACTATAATACACTATAACGACTAATTTTTATACACGAAAAACTACCCAATAGTTATATTTGATCCTTAAATATGAGAGTATTACCATCCCGTATCTGAAATTATTTTTTACGGTTGAATGATTACATATTTTTGTCGAAATCTCAGTGACCCAATTTCGATAATAGAATATATAAACATTTACGAAAATATATGGAATTGTTACTGTCTAAGAACTTTGTAGTCCCAACAGACTGGCGGTTTGAAGACTCTTGTAAACGAAAAAAAAATTATATAAAGGAATAGCTGCGATATATTAACAATGAAAGATATAACTGCTGTACCGTGCAACATGGAAAAGATATTTCCCATAACTATATTATAAAAATGTACGTTGTGAACGGAGTACATATTTGCTGCTGTCTCCAAAGATCAATAATAATAGACAAATCCACGAGTGATTTTGTAAGGTGTAACGAGATTGTTTTTACCTGAGGCAAATGTCGACGGCGGTGATAATAACAAGGGCGGCAGGTCAGGGGCGATGCCCGATAAAAGAAGACGCGCGACGGCGACGCGATCCGTCGCGACGCTCACTGCACGCCTATTGCTGCGTGCACCGAATAAGGGCGGCCGCGAGGGGTAGAAGGCGCTCGTTATTTATGCGCAGCTGTCAACGACCACCAACGACGACGACCTACTTTCATCCATGATACAGGGTGGGACATAAAACTTTTATTTGGAATACAAAAAAATAATGTTAATAAAAATCGCTCAAACGTCATTTTGTGATGTTTCAGATGGTCCTGATCATTTTCAGAAAAGAAATTGTGCGAATTGGGAGAGGGCATATGAGATTTTTTTGATCTTAAAATATTTTATATGCGCTCACCCTCGGTCAGCCATATTTTACACATGATGGATGATTTACCCGTACATTTCCCCTTAAAACTTAGAATGATGAGAAATGTTTTCTGACCCATGTATTTTGGGTCGCTAAAACCGAATCCTAAGTAATTTCACGTGCATATGTTCCGGTTTATCACGTACATTCTATTATTTAATGAAAACATGTAATACTATGCGACATTTGTTACTGGACGAAAAAACACTTTTAAAAATACCTTAGGGGGTCGTGGTGCCGAATTAGGGCTGAATAATCGGTACAAAGCTAGTAACCCGCACGGGTATTACGTATCTTTAAAAGTGACATTATGCCGATTTTTTTTGACATTATGCTGTTTTTTTTTTTGACATTATGTAGGTTTTTCTTAGCACTTAGTTGTACGTGTTGCCTAAATGTCATGAGGCTTGTTATCAATCTTTGGCTCTGATGTGATGTAAAATCTGCTTCTGAGATGGCATTACTGGAGGTCTAAACTGTAAGTTGTATGTGTTGATGATAATTCCATTGGATTCTTGTCTTAAATACACCTAATCGAGATTCAAAGCTAGAAATTAGTTGCGCAGACACTTTTTCTTATACATTCTGGAAATTACATATACAAATTTGCTGAATTTCAAAAATGAGAGAGAACAGAAATAATTACAGCCACTGTTCACAGTCAAAGTATACTAAGTGACATATAAATCCGAACACCCAGTTTAAATGGTTTTATTTTAATAAAAGTTGGTGAATGTATTTATCTTACTGTAAATAACAAGTGAAAAAATTTTCAGTCTTATCAGTTGGACATTCCGGTCTTTATACTGCTTTTTTTTAATTCACTAACGCTCTAAAAATGAATATTTCAGCCGCAGTAAAGAATCAACGTTGGCGGATTTTGGTTCTTGACATCCTTTACGATTGGTTACGATGCCTAGAGTACGGAGACCTGTACGATTTCGTCAACTTAGTGAGTTTGATAGGGGCCGTATAGTGGGACTTCGGGAAGCTGGACTTTCTTTTCGGGCAATTTCAGTTAGAGTACAAAGAAGTGTAGACACTGTGGTTAGGTGTTGTCAGGCATGGCTTCGAGAAGACCGTACCCAAAGAGCAAGGGGCACTGGACGCCGCCGTAGAACAACAGACCGTGAAGATCGCCGCCTAAGATTATTGTTAGAAGATATAACGTAACTGGTCCAGTTAATATTAAGCCACGATATGTGAAAAAAAGTAATATCACAAATGCCGACCGAAGAGCATTAAGAAGAATAATCGTGAAAAGCAGGCGTGCCAATTATTTACAATTAAGTGCTCTGTGGAGTGACGCTGTTGGAAGGAGAATTTCGAGGTCCACAACTCATAGAGACGCCCACAAACTGGGATTTAGTACTTGCAAGGTAAGTTTTCTTATAAAAAAAGTGAAGTAAAAACCCTAAAGTTGCACAACTTGTTTATAGGCCAAAGAAAAGCCACTATTAACTCCACTGCAAAAGAAAAATCGGCTTAGATGGGCTAAAGAACATAGACAATGGACATCTCAACAATGGTGTGGAATACAATGGAGTGATGAGGCCTGATTCGAAGTTTGTGTTGGTGACAGTCGCAGTAGAGTTATTCGCAAAAAAATGAAGCATTCCATGTTGACTATCTGAAGAGAAAAGTGAAATTTCCAGCATCCATTATGGTCTGGAGCAGTATGTCATCAAAAGGAGTAGAAAAATTCATTTTATTGATGGAAATGTGGATACAAACAAATATTTGGCAATTTTAGAAAAATCGCTTTTACCAGTGATGGAAGAATGTTTGACATCCGGCCAAGATTTTGTGTTTTAGCAAGATGGTGCAGCATGCCATACCTCAAAAAAGGCTATAAAATGGTTGGAAGAAAATAATGTACCACTTTTGAAATGGGTTTCTAGCAGACCAGATCTGTCACCTATTGAAACTTTGTGGCACGAGATGAAAAAGGTTCTACGACAACATCCTGCTCGTACAATCACCGAACTGAGACAAAAGCTTCAAGAAATGTGGGATTGTTTTACACCAAATTTTTGCCAAAACTTGGTTAACGCTATGCCCCAAAGAATTTCAGCCGTAATAAAAAATTAAGGTGATGTTACCCAATGGTAATCTTTCAATTGTTGCTTTGTTAACTTCGCGCATTTATTCGCACATTGTTTATTTGTTCAGATGTTCTATTAGTTATAGGTCTAAGTGATTTCAAATATGTGTTTGTTACGAGTAGAGTCTAAAATGTTTTTGAGAAAATAAATTGTTTTAGAAGTAAATAGTTTCGTCATGTTTAGTTTATAAAGACATATTTTGGTACAAATCTTGAAGTGGGCCAACTGAAGTGGGAAGGGGCTCGTATAACTCGGCGGCCGGGAGATGGGGCAGAGTACGGAATACGGTGGAGTATCAGAGCGTAGAGAAGTTATAGTGCAGTCAATGGTGACATAAGAATTAGTCAGGCATAAATTTCTTTTTGTGGAATCCAGTGTTTTAATCCACACCCAAAAAAACCCAGAAAAACGCTACAATATCAAAAAAAAAATATTTATTTAGGAAGCCTAGTATTACCAGTTGAACTTATGTTGCTTACAACACCAAACAACTTCTTCACTCTGCCAACATTTTTTTACTGTGAAGTAAGCGGTTCGCGAGCTATATGAAGGGGTTCGCAAAAATTATGGTAATGGCGGAATTTGTCCTCTATATTGCAACACCGCTGCTACAACAATCCGGCAAGAGGTATAGTTCGGCGAATCGAGTACACCGAGACCTTTCTGAGAATGCACTGGGGCCGTTCAAGTATTACGTGAGCACTATGGGGGCGAGGGGTCTTTGCTTTGCTATTTTGGATGACATGGGGGTAGGGGAGTCTAGATGATGATTACGTCGCTTTAGAACCGAGTAGGGGAATTACCGCGCGGTGTTCACTTTTCTAAATTTCCTCTATCAGTGTATTGTTTCGTTTGGATACTATAGCAAGTAGACGTATTGTAAGCATAGTAAAGCAAGTTAACATTTGTGTTACCATTGATTCCATTAGTCAAAGTTTAATGTTTAAATAAGACAGAGATAAGAAAAATCCAAGTTATACCAAAAATTGTTTGAAAGTTTTAAAAAATCTCGTACAAGTACGAAAGTACAAAATGTACAAAAGTTAGTTAACAAAGTGTGGCGAAATTACAAATTACAAGCAAAATCCGACAAGGAACTAGATATTATTGTATCTAAGAGAATCGAAGAAGAATTGCAAGCGGCGACTAAGAATAAATCCAATCTACTAATTTTTTTTTCTAAGGTGAGTGACGAAATCATTTTAGGTACCTATGAGTACTAGAAATATTAGAAATCGCCAAAAAAATTATCTTTACTGATTAGAAAATATTATGGCCTATCTCAAAGTATAGAGGTAATATTCATTATATTATAGATTTATTTCTTATGACTGATTCCGTCATTTGTCACAAAGTACAGGATGTTAGTTTTATACATATATACAGAAAACTAACACCCTGTATTTTGTGACCGGAACGAATTGCTCGTTTACACATATTAGATTTAAAGCCATAGGGTTTTGTATTTACCATATATATTGCCATACTTTGTATTTATGTAGCTTAAGGCGGCTCCGACGCAGTGAGTTTCAGGCCATTTACAAGGGTTTAGCTGCTTCGGAATTGACGCTCCATTTTTCTATATATTTGAATAAAATTTATACAGTATGTTAAGAAGACAATTGTCCAGGGTGCTATAGAGCCACCCAGAGGAAAAAACGAAAAAGTGGCTCTATAGCACCCTGTGGAGTCTTGTTTTTAGTGCACTGTGAAAATTTCATTGAAAAATATTCAAAAATGAAGCGTCAATTTTGAAGCGCGAAAACCTCTGCAAATAGGCTTTTACACGAATTTTATCCACTATCTCGTGCTGCCAGTCGAAGCAACGCGGCGGTGTGTACGGACTAAGAAAGGACGTATTCAGATAATTTGTGGTCCCAAGTTAAACAGTAGCAGTTTTAACGTCGGTCGTTCGAGATAAACATCGGACCATTAAGTGATATTTTTAATAGACTTCAATGAAAGAGGGGAAAATTTTAATCGATTTTGATCATTTCTTTTTATACAATAGGCCATGCTTCAGAGGTGATACCACAAAAAATCATTTTTGTTCAATCACCCCAATATGGATATCAAATGGAAGCACTTGTACAAAACAGTAATACGAAAACAGTTTCAAATCAAGATGGCGGCCGTTACAAAATGGCGGATAACATACTTGCTAATATCTCAAATAAGAGTCGTCGCCTTGTAGAATACAGTACTTCACTAAAAATTTGATTCCAAGATTGCCGCCGTTTCGAAATTGCGAGTTACATATTTTTGTACAAAACCCCCAATTTACATATCAAATGAAAAGACTTGACATGTGTGGTAAAATACAGAACTTTGTGACCAAAAGTTTCCAGGTGGTTCCAGGGTCATTGGAGGCGGTAATCTTTTTAGTTAAAAATAATAATTATAGTGAACGCATTTACCACAAATAAAATGTCACTTGCTGTTTAGCTTTAACCTTATGGAGTATCGTAAAATAAACTTAACACGATAAGCGTCATGAGATATAATGCGTGTGTCGCAGCTCATTTGGCGCTTTGGGCCTCGTGACACACATGATATGTCTCACTGCTGGCAGTTATATTTGGCCGCGTAACGTAAGACGTGTGCCATGCTGATGTGATTTTCTTACGGGAACCAAGAGTCCGTGGCCTGAGGGACCAAATTATACTGAAT